TGCGATCCCACAGAGTTGGCCTCCTCAGAGTGCCGTCTGCCAGACAGTGTCGGCTAGCGACCCCCAGGGGGAGAGCCTTCTCTGTGGGAGAGCCTTCCCTCTGGAATGAGATGCTCCCAGAGCTTCATATAATCCCCGACCTCCAGTCCTTCCGGCACGCCCTAAAAAGTTGGCTTTTCCAGCAAGCCAGCCTGGCCTGAACAAAACAAAATAAATTATTGATTATTGTTAATTTTAATTGAATTTTTTTTAAAAAAACTTTATTGTTAATCTTAATTGGTTTTGTTTTTTGGATATTCTATTTATTTATTTTTAACTTTTGTAATATGTGTTTTTTTAATGTTGTACGCCCTCCTGAGTCCTTGGGAGAAGGGCGGCATATAAATCCAATAAACAAACAATATGACTTTGAAGCACGGAAAGAGGCAAGCAAGAACATCCACAATCATGTGACTAAAATCCTTGCTCCCTTTTTAGTATGGGACTTGATTTTTTTTAACCTTCTTATTGTGGACACCTGGCTTTAAATAGGGGAAATTATCTCTATTATGCATTCATCTGCCTGATTATTGTACCTTGTTTGTACAAGCATGAATTAATAATGCCATCCTGAATTTCTCCTTGTAAAGATTATGTACTCTCTGTTGTATCGTTTCTATTTAATTCATTTGTAAATGGGCATTTGCTCCACAAAACTTAAAACAACACTGCCACTGAATAAAAAAGGACCCCACTGTATTACCAAACATGAACTTACACCATTTAATCCAATGTTCAGTAAGGTTACTCAAAATTATATTTAAACTATTGTGAAGCTTAGATAAACTACTAAGCTTGTCTCAAATTTATGTTCCGTCATGAAGTTGCTGGTGTCCTTCAACAACTTTCTTTGTTAACTTAACTGGTTGTGCAAGGTTGCTATGAAGAAACCTTCATAGTAACCTTCATTTTTGTTTAAAAAAATAAATCAGAGAAAGAAAGAAACTGGAAGAATATTAAGGAAGGTATTTGAGTCATTGTGAAACTGATGGCACCATATTGCCTACAGGACTTACTTAAACAACTAATGCTATTTCGTCTGTTTCTATGACAGCTTGTTTCTAAACTGAAAACCTCATAGTTGTACATTATTTTAAAGGTATCTGAAATCTTGTCATTTCTTTCATGTCTCCTTTCTTTGGTTTCCATAAATATATTGTCCTTTAATTTAAAATAAGGGTTATTTTTTTTCCTCATGGGCAAATCAGGTTGCTTTAGCTTATTTTTCTCTACATGTTTTTGTCTTCCTATATAATTTATATCCTGATAATTAAAAATGGCTCTGCATGCAAACAAATACCTTCATATGAAACAATTTTTCACAAGCATGTGATAGACAGGTATGTTTTCATATTTCAAATTACCATAGTTCCATAAATCTATACTAAAAGCCATGGAGCACAAATTACTAATTCTACATTTCTCATATATTCAGATACAATTATATAGTAATAGCAATAGCACTTAGAGTTATATATCACTTCACAGTGCTTTGCAGCCCTGTCTAAGCAATTTGAGTCAGCATATTGCCCACAACAATCTTGGCCCTCATTTTACTGACTTCAGATGGATGGAAGGCTGAGCCAACCTCCAGCCGGTGAAAATCAAACTGCTTGGCAGTCAGCAGAAGTTACCTGCAGTACTGCATTCCTACTATAGTGCCACTATGGCTCATATAGTCAGATCCCTGACAAAAATTGGTTAGAGCTTGTCTGCCTTGGCCAATTAGCTAAATAGTGGCAAATAATAATTAAAGATAAGCATGTGCAATGATATAGAAAACAAGAATTACAAAAGTTTGTGGTTTCCTTGAAGCAATGTAACATCTGAAATTCTGGAAAAAAAGTTCTTAAAGATTAAAAGTATTGCCACAAACCAAACATACTTTGGTGGTTCTGAAAAATAAGTGACAGAAGGTCTTTTAAACATGTCTTTAGAACATGCACATCAAAGAGCTGTTCCTGCTGAGAAAACATAGGTAATGAACCTTCTGATTTGAGTTAATTACTGAAAGAGAAAATAAACTGATGTACTGATTGAAACAGTAAGACTGTTGCTGAACTCAAGTCAATACTCAGCAAATTCATGCACAGTTGACACCCATTTTGGAAAATAATAATAATTATAAGCTTGGAGTGCTGTAAACTAAAATATCCTTTTTTGCAACAGACTTTTAACTACAAATAGATTTGGAAAATGAGTTTAAATGGCTAAATTATTTCATCTGGCAACCCAGCCAGGGAATTTACCAACATTATAAATACAAGCTGAATAAATATACAAAGATAGCTTGATTTCAATTTGTAAAAAACTAGCCTGGTTATCTCATTACTGTTTTCTATTATTCTGGTGTTACAGACCAAATTGTAGTGCACACATTATTAATCAGTTTCCTCCTCAGTGATAATGTGCAGACAACACCCTTTATAGATGGCACTGCAGATAGGCCAGCAAATGGCCCTGCTACCAGTTGCATTGTAGCCTTTTGTAATTGACAGGTAAAATTTTGTCAATTCACATATTTTCTAAGTGTCATCCAAAATTTATTTGATATGACACCAAGTATGCCAAAAACCACTAGAACCACTGCAGATGGTTTATGCCATACTTTCAATCTCTATTTTTCAGATCTAGATATTTTTTGATCTCCAATTCTTTGTCTTTCATTTTACAATTTCCTGGTATTGCCACAACTATCCAATATTTTCTTCTTTTCAATCGCAGTTAGAACTGGTGTGTTATGAGTCTATACTTTATTCTATATTTAGAAATTTCAAAACATTTTAACCTCCTTATTTTCAATTTCTTTTTGAACTATACTTTATGTTCCCATCATTTTTTTTATTACTGGCACATGATCATTTTTACAGATGTTCCAGTGAATCATTTTTTGCGACTGTGTTATATTGGCTGTTTATAATCAATTTGTCAATCTTCTTGGACAAGTCTATATGTTCTATATTTTTTCTGCTTTTTTGTACATCTGCATTTTGGATTATTTGATGGTGTTTTTTTTCCAATTCCAGCATTAATTATATTAGTTCAAACAGCTTGTTTTTGTGCAGCCAAAATCAAGCCTTCCATTTCTTGCAATTGCAAGTCATAACAGGTTTTATCATTACCCACTTTCCTCTCAAAATTTTGTAGAAATTGACCATGTCCTTTTCTTCTGTTAGCATTGTTATCACACTTTCTTATTTTTTCTTGAACATTTAGTAAGATCCAGGTTTAAAGTTGGATTAATTCTTTTTTTTTTTTTTTTTGGCTGTCTTTTATGTAATCAGCCAGTGCATGTTTTTCTCCTTTGGCAGTTAGTTTGACTTCTGCCTCCATTTCTTCTGAGCTAGTATAAACTTTCAATATGGGGATATAATGAATAGTTCCTGTATTAGTTTGTTATTGTTGTTGTTGTTATTTGCCCAAACTGGATACAAGTTGAGCTTGTATCCAGTTAATAGTTTCAGCAATATATTATATCACAGGTATGCTCCAAACATTGGTGCCTTTGATGGCGTTTACACCATTCAGTTTTTAGTAATTTTCTCACTCTTTCGATGTATACTTTACTAACTACCTTTTCAATTTGTCCATGTTTGATGTTATCCAGGTATAAAATGCTCATTTACTTGTTACTCACAAGTAACATAACCAACTCCTGGCTTATGGGATCTTCCATTGAAGTTTTCAGTGATGATGTTAAGTAGAACATCTTATAAAGGAAGAAGTTGGAACTGCAAGTGTAAAAAAATAAACTACAAGTAAAACAGTCTACATATACATCAAGAACTGGGGACTGTAGTGGTGTGTATGTAGTATATTACAACATTTGGGAAATGTGTTGTTTTCCTTTGTTCTCTCCCTCTTTACATTGTTTCTAACCTATGGTTCCTTGATAGCTTCAGGAGTGATCTGGGCATATTTCACTTTTTTTTAAAAAAATCCTGGGAATAAAGCTGCTGTTGTTTTCTTTTTATCTTTCTGCAGCAGTATTACCATTTAGAGGAGCATGTGGTGTGTTGTTTTTTTACATTTGCCTCATCTGTTCATCCGCAGTTGGAAGATACTAAATCAGAATGGAGGGAGAGTATTATGACCTTCATCACTTTCTCAGTGTTTGTATTCTATAATTGTGTTCCCCATAAGAAGCTTTTTCTACTTTTGTCAGCATTGAGAAACTGCAGTTATCTGTAGGCTATCTATTCCCATGGTGAGCCATAATAGAAATCAGGAATCACACAGTGTTGTAGAATCACCTGAAGGTTTAATTTTGCTTGGTCTTTTTACTCTAATTTAAAATGTACTGTATCGTATTTTATTATCTCCTCCCCGCTCCTCCCGCTAAGATGTCATTGTTTGCCTCACAGCATTTAAACTGCTTATATCTACCAGCAATTACAAATGTAACTAGATACCTTGGGAATGTTGACAAGGAATGTTCAAAGTCTGAGCACAGTGCAGATGACACTGTCCCCAAACTGTGAATGTTGTGATTTTAAGTTATCCTAGAGTCTATTGTGCAATCTTGAGATGGTTGCTTTTAGCCTGATTAACAAACATAGAGAAAAAGTAAGTAGGTTACTTAAAGTTTTAAATATGACACAGTTATACAAACAATTGTTTAAAATGTCTCAGCAAAAGAGAGTCTACCCCTTTCTGGATTTGGGCTTGTGATCTTTCTCTCTCCAAAGGGAACATGGTAGAAAATAGTGAAAGAACTATCAAAATTTTGCCTTCCTTTGCACTAGTTGGGCAACTAAAGTAAATGCTACCATCTCACAGACTTAGCCAATATATGTCATGTGCTAGTACTACATAAAGTAAGCCAGTTAATATGAGAAGTGAAGGCTGGATCACTTGGATTTTGCAAACTCAACCAATATGTTAAGCATGTGCCAATCTATAATTTTAAAAATGTAAAGAAAAAATAATGATGATGATAAGATTTAGATTTGTGTTTCCTGAATTCTGTGGAAATCAGGGTCCATGAATACAGTATTTAATAACTGACACTCTTGCCCAGAAATTGAGTGATAATATCAACATTTAAAACTGAGCTTGTATATTATATACACCTGTCAGCTTAAACTATTTGGCCATCCTTGGATTTTGAGATGCACATCAAAGTGAATGCTTCAATCAGGAGGCTTTGGAAGGCAATGTATTCAAGACAAAGCTGATATTTTATCATCCTTATTTGAATAAGCTGAAAGAACCAGTTTCACCTTGGAATGTATAACTTGGATAATTGCCTCTCATCTGTGTAGAAGCTAGATGGGAATGTTGCTTGGTGAATGCTGTGGTTCATTCACATGAAAATACTGATGGATTCATTTGCATGAACCAGCAACAGATTGAACCCTTCACTGTAGATTTTTCTCTGAAATGAGGTAGATGATAGAGATAGGAAAACCTTTTCTTGATCTGCATATCTATGACATCAATCAAATGCTTCCTGAATTAATACACAGGTTTAAAATTTATCTTGGCACCCCATACTTCTCTTATCATTTGAAATGCAGATTCATCAGCAGATGGGAATGAAGCCCCCACTCCACCCCGTTATTTAGCTTCAGAACTACAAAACTATTACTGCCAACACTGAGCATCAAACAATGAGTTATGGTGAGGCAATTTCCATCTTGTGAAATTAAACTGCCTACTAAAATATATGCATTCTCTGTGGTAAGCAAACTACAGTTGCTTTAGGTAAAGAAAAATACTTGCTCTGTAAAACAAAAAAGAAAGAGCCAATTTGGTGTTGTAATTAAGGCAGCAGGCTAGAAATCAGGACTGTGACTTCTGGTCCTTCCATAGACATGAACTCAGCTGAGTGACTTTGGGCCAGTCTCTCTCTCTCTCTCAGCTCTAAGATGCTCACAAGGGCAAACCACTAAAAAGTTTTGCAAAGAAAATTTCAGGAACTAGTCCAGGGGGTCTCCAGGAGTCAAAAATGACTCATACCCTCACTCTTTCCTCTCTCTCTCTCTCCCTCTCTCCCCCCCCCTCATATGCCTTGGAAAAATCAGTCTACTAAATGTGACCCTTATAATTTTATGCATCTTTTTATTTCCCTTTTCATTTGAAGCCTAGTGCACAAATTGGCATGAACTGGCTTATGAGAGCATCTAAACAGACACTGCATGTTTAAAGAAATACTGATTTGTTGGTCCTTGACAGATTGCAAACCATTCTGGGATAGTCTTTGATACTGAAACTTTTATGGAACCCTAGTTCTGATTTTTAAATCCATTTTAATTATTATTGTATTGTTATTCAATGATCTCATGATATATTTAAAATATTTCATTGATAAAATATGCTCTAGTTAGTAAAAATGCTAAAAAATAAACTATGAATTAAGACAAATGATACACAGAAATTGTTCACCTAAATTATACCATGAGTTAATAGAATTAAGTCATAGAATTTCAGTGTAATTCCCAATTAATTAATTCATAGAATTCACATTTAATAAAATTCTCACTACTCTATTAATCATGCCAGTTATTAGTAGAATTGAACTGTGTTGAGGACCAAATGGTTTGAAAGTCTGTTTAAATCATGAGTGTTCAGAAGAGAATGAGAAAAGGAAAACACAACTGATTCATTTTCACTAAGAACCTCACAATGAACTGGACTAATCAAGAACTCCCATAATGCATAATATGTCACATAAAGTTATGTGGATTTATAAACTATGACCAAGTTCATTTACAACATTTAAACATAATACAGCTTCTTTGGTTTTATAAGGTAAAGGTAAAGGTTCCCCTCACACATATGTGCTAGTCATTCCCGACTCTAGGGGGCAGTGCTCATCTCCGTTTCAAAGCTGAAGAGTCAGTGCTGTCTGATGACATCTCTGTGGTCATGTGACCAGCTTGACTAAACGTTGAAGGTGCATGGAACACTGTTTTATACATGATGTCTAAATTCTTAGCATTATATACAAATTGGGCCACTATTGCTAGTTTAAGGAACAAGAATTAAACACATTGGCTTAATATTATCTATAAAAATTACCAAATCTATAGTGCAGTGCATTTTGAAGTGTGTACATATTGATTTTTCAAATTTCTCAACTTCTTGATATAAAATATGATGTGTTATTTTACATTTTATTTCCATAGCCATAGGTTTTAGACAAATCTGTTTAAAATTTCAGTCCTCATTTTCAAAGGTATTGCTATAGAAACATATGTTTTCTACGTAGGTAGATCTTATAAAAAGAAAACATACCTCTAATAGATTTATACAGCTGGAATCCTTCTGAAGATGGAAAATTAAAATTAGGTAGAGAAAGACATTTTGCCTAGAAACAGCTGGTGATACCGTAACCATTTATCCAAAGGATTGAGACTTACCCAAATGATGTCCTCCTGTCTGTACTGCTTCCAGTTGCGACCTGTATCACTGAACATTAGACTGTAGCTTGTGGTCCAGTCTGAGCTTCCATATCTTCCCTGAGTAGCAACGCCTGTAATCTCTACTCTGTCTCCCAAATCAACTTGGAGCCATTGTTCCTTACTAGAATCCAAAGGGGACCAGCCACCAGCTCCTAAAAGAAAAGATAACCCAGAATGATTCTTATATTCCTGCATCTACTTTTTATGAGTGATACATCTTTATTACAATGTTCTGGAGAATGTACTGTTAGGCAAAAAATTATTTCCTTCAGGGTTGCATATTTTTCCTGATTTCCATTACTCAAAAACATATCCTCATATAGGCCATGGAGGCTTGCCATAAAAGGCCCATTCTAGCAGGAAAATTTATAATTGCTTCTCACCCTGTTTCTACAGGTACATCAAGTCCCAGGTAGTGATTTATGATTGAAGTTTGTGCTTGTTAATTCTCTTAATGCTTTTTGCTTGTTGTCCTGTTTACCAAATATGGACAGGTAGATTCTGTTTAGAATCTAGATCAGGCATAAGGAATATTTTTGTTTGGCTTGCATTTTAATTTTATTTGACCTTTTTTTAAACTAATACATCAACTGAAATTCAGTTTTTACTCAATTTTATCTCCTCATGACATATGTACATATATATTTATAAGAACTTTTTCTTTTTTTAAAAAAAATCCCAAAATACCAAGGTTCACGGCATTTAAATTTGGGACTTCACTTTAGACAATACTGTATATATTTTTTATAAAACATAGTCTCCAGTGTGTTAAGTTTGGAATTGAAAGAACAAGCAAGCAAGACATGTTACTTGTGATTAGAGATTAGAATGCCAAAGTGAGAAATATTAAGGAGGAAAATTTGATGGACTGTATGGCTTAGGAAAATAAAATGAAGCAAAAGAAGGGCTCATCAAATTTTCACTAATCCAGGAGTTTGTTTGCTTTTTGTTAGTAACATAGTCCTTATAATCAAATGATGGCTATATATGTGAACATCTCTAGATGAATTTGATAAAAGCTAAATTGTTTATATTATTATTAAAAGGAGGTTTAAGAACTCAGATATAACAGCAAAGATGTAGCCAAGGACTAACTATAGAACAAGTCACAAATTCTTCCTACATAGGTTTCAAATTAAACTAAAGTGAAAGAAAAAAAACCCAATTAGTTTCTCCAATATGATCTTGATCATATACCAACATTTTCAAAGAGATCAACATAATTGTTTTGAAAGTTCTGAACCTTATTGAAGGAGGAAGCATGGAATTAATTTAAATAAGTTGTTATGGATGAATGTGAAAGCAGACTACAGGAGATCAAGAAACAGAAGGAAGCTAATTGGATATCAGAAAAAAGGTGGATATTGTCAAAAAGAAAAGAAGTGTCAAAGCCAAGACTGTTAAAGATCTCAGGAAGCAATTCAATTTCAGAAAATTGTGAAAAAGACATAAAAAACATCATTACAACAACATCTCTAATGACATCAAAGATAAAAACAGATATGGAAAAATAATAAAAGTCTTCCAAATGATCTCAGAACTCAGGAAATTCCAACATCAAATTGGTATGCTGATGTCATAGGAGGGGAGCCATATTAATCCATAGTTTTAACTCTGATCTGTGAGTGTAATACAAGATTGACTGATTAGACTACAGTATCAAAAGCAAACAAACAGTAATCTCATAGCATCTTTTCTGACTAATACATGTTGGTGGAAGGATAAGCTTTTATTTCACCATAGGAATAGATAGCAGTAAATCCAAAGATCAAACGTGGATGGAATAGACTGAAATTTTATACAATAGAGATTTCAACTTTCAAACTACTTTATAAGATATTCTATGAACCTCTAGTAGAAGAACCAAAATTAGATGTGTACTTTTGTCATCATCAAGTTCAGAAGACTACAAAAATTGTTGGAATATCTGCAAAATCATGACAAGGAATAGAAAAATAATCAGCAAAGGCTATAGTGAACTTATGGTAATAAATTTGGAGCATGGCATAATGGCTAACAGTTTTACAATAGTGGCCAACAATGCCAACATCAAAACGACAAGAGTTAAGAAAGAGTGCCAAAATCATACAATATCTTTGATTTCACACGTAAGCAAAATAATTGGCGGGAAAGTCCAGTGTAGATCAGACAGATCCCAGTCTTAGAAGGGACAATGATGATCTGAAGTGCTGAATAGTTTCTACTTGTTAGGATGAACAGGAAAAAGAGCCAGCAGTTAAGAAATATTCCATAGACCATTGAAGTGCTTGGTAGAGTAGAAATCCAGGTCTTTCAAAAGAGAGATTCAGATACCGTGGTCAGTGTTGGGTTGCAGGTGGTATGCCCTGGTATGGGCATATCAGTGCCTGCCCAGAGCACTGGATACCATTCCAGTATGGTGCTCCAGAGGGCCCACCCCCCCGCCTGAGCTCCTTACCTGTATTTGAACTCTTCAGCGCTTCTGTGCATGTGCATGGAGCACACGGAGCCTGCGCGATGCTCTGCCGAGCAGCTGGAACATGGCAGAGGCTCACGGAGGCATTGCAAGTGGTAAGGACACATGCACACGCTGCTCACATTCATGTGGTAGACATCAGGCCTTGTTGCACTGTACCAATTGCAATGGGATTCGGAACCCACCACTGGTCCATACCTACAAATATCAGACCTGTGCAAGCAATGGCTTTCTCTGTGGCACACTACAAGTAAAAGTTGGAGTTTGAAGAAGCAGCAGTTTGAATTACAGCATCAATGAAAGATCTGAAAGATCAAGTTAGGGATAGTTTCACCCGGACAAAATCTAGCTATGTAGTTTCCAAGCATTGACATGAACTTAATCACATTGCACTCATGTCGGAGTACTGAAGTTCTTCTAGGTTGAAAGGATTAGCTGGTGACATCACTGCCCTTGGACTGCCAAGTTGTGGGCTCCTTTCATGTCCCTGGCAAGAGCTAGAGTGAAGGATGGGAGCTCGCCCCATCCCACAGCAGCACTCAGGACTCAAGCATAAGCTTGCTGTTTGTCAAGCCAGTGTCTACCCATGCAACCCATCATGCTCCTCCTCAACTTAATAGCACATAATGAATTTGCAATTGTTCACAAAGTTACTTACAACTTTTTTGTAGGAAAGTGGGCCTTCAGTCTAGACTATCCAGTATATTTTTTATAAAATATGGTCTTCAGTGTGTTAAGTTTGGAACTGAAATAACAAGCAAGCAAGACATACTACTTGTGGTTAGAGATTAGAGCTATATATAGGTTTTTTTTACAATATTCTTGTTGTTTTGCTCAATTAATATAGAAAGAACTAAAGGCAAGTTTCTATTTTTTTTTCCTCACAAGTATTTCACTGAACCTTCTCTCCCTGGGCGGGGCAGGGTATCTCTCAGAGTCCTTCGAGATTGGGAGGCATACAAATCCATTAAAACCTTAAACCTTAAAACCTCTCACAAAAATATTTGCTGAATATTTCAGCTTGCTCAAAGAATGCTATACTTTCTTTCATGCCAAATGTTTCAGCATTCCCTTGTGATATATAAGCTCCAGAGAGCATATGCCAGTTGTTGAGGCCCAGGAAAATGAAAGTTTATTACTACATTAACCATAGCATGTAGCAGCAATAAGATAAGAACAGGTTCAAAGCCCAGACTGAACATTACACAAAAGGCATATTTCAATTACTTGATTCCCTTATTAATAGCTGCTCAGCAATTTTGTTTGGTTTTATTGTTCTGTTAAATTCCCCATGTTCATTGTCTACAATATTTTCAAATCTCCCATAAAACTACAGTACTTATTTATAATGTAAACATGCTAACATATTTTTCCTTTCCTTAGGAAAGTAGAGGCATGGCACAAAGACATAAATTCTTCCTGAGATTCACGTTTAATGCTCACCACAAGTTGGATGTTTTATATGGTCTGAGAGATGTCCATTTTTAATGATGATATGCCTTCTTATTTAAAATATAAACATAAAGCCCACTCTAGTTTGTTTTATTTTTAGGATTCAACAATACGATGCACAAAGAAATGCAAATAAGACTTGCAGAGACAACGGTAGGTGTTAAAAATCATTTTAGGAGAAATTGGTGTGATGGAACTAGTAAAAGTGTGAATAAATACATATCTTTCTGCAGTGCTTTAGTATTGTGAATCCTTATTTTAAGTTGTAAATGTAATCCATATCTGAATAAATGTTCCTCTCTAAGAACTCTCTTCCGTAGAAATTTATTGAAATTTTAATATCCCCAATTAATGATGATAATTTAGGAGACAGCTATATGCACTGGAGTGAAATATAGTTTTCTTCTGATTTAGATTCAAGTATTGTTCAGTCTATGTCAAAGTTCAGGTGCATTTGAAGAATTAACAAAAACGTCTGAGGAAATTTTGGAGAAGCTAAATGAATTTCATTAAGATTAGGAAAATCCCATCAAGGGATATCTTATATTCCTAGAAGCAGTTATGTTCCAATAACCCAATGGAATTAGAAATGATATTTTAATTAAAATGCCAAACAATATTTGAAATGTCTTCTTGAAATATCACCCACTATATTCTCCTAATTTTTTAATGTCATAGAGGCATGTTGTCTAGTAATTTCTAGTGACTTTCAGAATGCATCAAATCTGAATAGAGAAAAGAGGGCTAAGTTTAAAAGCTGAGATAGAAGGAAAACAGCAAAGATAATAATGAAAATAGATTCTGTGTGAATATATTTCTTGTTAAATAATCCTGTTAAAAGTAGTTATCAAATGCTGTTCAAAGTAAGGCTATCAGATCCAAGGTGCAAAAGTCTGGTTAGCCACTGTATGGAAGCGGCTAACCAGACTTTTTGTAGAAAAAACAAAAACCAACACAGTTTTGGTCACCACATTAAAAAGATGTTGAGACTTTGGAAAAAGTGCAAAGAAGAGAAACTAAGATGATTAAAAGCCTGGAGACTAAAACATATGAAGAAGGGTTGGCAGATTGGGGTTTGGCTAGCCTATACAAAAGAAGATTAGAGCAGTATTCCAGTATTTGAGAGGCTGCCACAAAGAAGAGGGGATCAATTTATTTTCCAAAGCACCAGAGAGAAGGACAAAAAACAATGCATGGAAACTAATCAAGGAGAAAAGTAATCTGGAATTGAGGAGAAGCTTCCTA